CCCCGGCCTGCCATGACTTTTCAAATATCATGGAGAGTGGCTTGGCAACTACATCAGCCAATTCCCTCAGGACTCTGATGCATCTCATCAGGTCCCATAGACTTATGTATGTTCAGGTTCCTCAGGTGGTCTTGAACCCGATCTTCTCTTACAGTGGGAGGGACTTTGCTCTCCCAGTCCCTGCCTTGAGGTCCATCCACTCAAGAGGTGTGGGAAGAGAGATTACCAGTGAAGACGAGGCAAAAATTTGCCTTCTCCTTGTCTGTTGTTACCAGTTTGCCAGTCTTGTTCATCGGGGAGTATGCTCTCTTTGACCTTCCTTATCTGGCTGACATACCTACAGAAGCCCTTCTTATTAATCTTTGCATCCCTTGCCAAGTTCAGCTCCAGTTGCGCTTTGGCCTTCCTGACCCTATCCCTACACCACCAGGCAGCATCCTTATACTCTTCCCAGGATACCTGTCCCTGCTTCCACTGCCTGTGCCTTCCATTTCCTTCTTGCCCTTTAGTTTGGCCAGGAGGTCATGACTCAGCCATGCCAGTCTCTTGCCTTCCTTTCCTGATTTCTTACACATGGGGATCGAGAGCTCTTGTGCTCTATGGAAAGCATCCTTAAAGGTCTGCTAGCTCTGTTCTGCTCCCTTGTCCCTGAGGGCAGTTTCCCAGGGAGTCCCATTGACTAACACCTTGAACAGCTGGAATTTTGCTTTCCTAAAACTCAGGGTCCTGACTTTACTCTTTGGCTGTCCCATATCCCTCAGGACTGTGAACTCCACCAGTGCATGATCACTGCAGCCCAGGCTGCCTCTGATCTTAATGTCTGTGATTAGCTCACTTGCGTTGGTGACCAAGAGGTCCAGTAACGTATCTCCTCTGGTAGGGCTGTCTATTACCTGGCTTCAATGCACTTTAGAAGTCTCCTGGATTGCCTGCAGCTCGCTGTGCTACTTTTCTAGCAGATGTCAGGGTGGCTGAAGTCTCCCAGCAGGATGAGAGCCTGCGAGTGCAATCCCTCCTGTAGCTGGAGTAAGAAGGCTTTGTCAATAGGCTCCCCTTGATCGGGCAGCCCGTAGTAAGCACCAACCACAAGGTTCACTTTCTTGGCTTGATCTCTAATTCTTGGCCTAAGGCATTCAGCTCTTGCCACTCCCAGAACGTCCTGCTAGTCCATGGATCAGTGCTGGAGCAGCAGGGCTTGGACTCAGGCCTGGGGGTGGGAGAGCGTTTGAGTGCTGTTCCAGCCTTTTTGTGATCATGGGAAGGTGTTTGCTCCTGCTTAGACCTTTTTCTTGAGACTTTCTTCTCAGTCCTGAAGGCTGTGCATACTCAGTGAGAGCTGAGATTTTGTTTTGACTACGTATGCAGTGGGGAGCTGGTGGGCTTTCTGTGTTACTCTAATCTTTGTATGGTTATTTCTGCAGGCTGTCTGCTGATCTCACACTTTGGCCATGCTTTTGAGCTTTCCAAACACTGCAGCTACAGGCATGATTTCTGTTCTCTTAAAAATCAAGCTTTAGCTGGCTGTCATCCATAGATAGAGGGTTGTCTCTGCTCATGTCCTCTGCTCAGTCCAGTGTTGTGTTGGCTGCAAACAGAGCTATAATTCAGTTCATGAAATCTTTAGTAAATTGAGATAGTAACCAGTAAAATGAGAAACTTTAACCACTGCACATGTTAGTGTGTGCAATTGTGGGTTTGGTTTGGGTTTGTTTTGTTTTCTCTCCCCCGAGTAATTTGCAAAAGTGCATACTTTGGTTTTGCAGATGATAAATGGAGAGAGTGAGGCCACTTCAGCTGGTCATATATGTCCTTCAGGTGCCACTTCAGCCTACGCTCAAAGGTTTCCCTACTTCAAGCTGATTTCTGTGGGTATAGATGGCTGGCGAATAGACTTAAGTGCCATGCTAGTGCAAAGCTCTGTTTTGCTGATATTCAAAAATCAATAGCTGAAAAGCCTCACTCTGGTATCTGTAGAAATGCATGACTTCCTAATGCTCTTTCTAAATCTCTCTTGCTGTAACTTAAAGTTCATTACCAGCCTTTCCAGAAGGGAGGTAGAGAATTTGACATTACCTTCTGTATGTTTGAAGACCATGTTCTTTAAATCTACTGTCAGCTTTTGTTAAAAACGAGATTCTCTAGCCTTCTTGGACTACAGCCCATTTTATTTTGTGTAATGCCATTGTTTTAATTTACAGCCAAATAAAAACTAGCCAGTTAAGAACATTGAACACTGACTGATTTCTTTTCTCCTATTGTCTCTCTTTGCTTTCTTCTGCATAGGGTAATCGTGTGAATATTCTTTTGGTTTTTTTCCTTAGCCACTTGCAGACTGCTTCTTCCTTCTAGTACTCTCCTGTTTATTCAGTGAAAACTGGTTTTAGGATTAATTCTTCCAGTCACCTTTCAGTAACTTTAACTTACTCAGGTCCAAGCTCCTTAACTGCCTTCTGGTTTTGGAGCACTTCTTGCAGATGTAATTTAAACCAGCAGCTTAAAATGCTCTGAAATGTGCATGTGCAAGACGGATGCTTCCAGCCTTATCTGCTTGTTTGGTGGTCGATATTACCAGTATGTGCTTGTATTGGGAGGGCATAACTGTTAGGGCAGCGTGTGCTGTGCAAATATGGCTTGCCTGTCTTATTTGCACTTTCTTCTAGTCCCATTCTTTCCCCTTCATACTCCTAAGTTCTTGGGTTCTGTTGAGCAGATTTCTTGCCCACAGTTCCTCTACTTAATCACTTTCTTCTCTGGTTTAATAATTTACCATTTGATGCCCTGTGCTTACTGAAGTTGACAATTGAAATAGATCTTTTTTTTTTTTTTAATCTAGAAAATCAGTTACTTCAGCAAAGAAAGCTAATGCATCAGTCTGTTAGAATTGAAACTTGAAGCAGGTTTACCTGTTAATTCAAATTTATTGTTTATCTTGAACACCTTTAGTTGTTCTTTCCACTAAAATATGCTTTAAAGGTTT